ATGATAGTGCCAGTTGTGATACAAAGTTTCACGCATGAAGATTCGGTTTCCGAAGAGAAACAAACTTACAAAAACCACACTCTATGGACAATCGAAGGTAAGTCGGCGCGGAGCCAAAGGCGGGGCATGGAAAGAAGTGCGCTTGGGCGGCTACGTATCAGGCGACGCAATGAAAGAATCGGGTTAAAGCGTGCGATTTTGGAGAATAGAGACAAATCGATCGATAGAATAGGATGCAGTAGAAGTGTGAGATGTTAATGCAATAAGTCAAAAGGCCAAAAAGAGTTTCTAGTGAGGCACTCCGAGAACCAAGTGGAAGCATTCCCGTCGCCAGCATTTGTGACAGATGTCCGGCGGGAATTTGAACGCAGCATCCTTCGGTTTTTCGAATTTTTTTTACCAAAACAAATGCAATTTTTCTGTTCTTTTCGTTCTTATCGTGAACGATGGGTCTCAAGCCAGTGATTTATGGGTGAGATAGAATCATGATTTTTCCGGGAAGGATTCCTCGAAACTGTCTTAACATTCGAAAATCTGGAACCGCATGCTCCTAGGAAGGCAGCACAATGATCAGCCGATTTCGGGCTGCGCCATGTAGTCGACCGCTATCCATAACCATTGTAGTGTTCGAATGCGCAGTTGGCATCGATTATGCTGATCCAGAATAGCCAATATACGAATTGGTTTTTCGACCTCCGAGCAAACCTGTAGCAATCAACCGATTATTATATCCAGAACCCTTTTTTGGTTTTCATGAATGTTTTTTTTATGAAAATCAAAAAAGGTTTTTTTCATGTTTTTTTTTCGGTCCTGACTTGATTGTTCTGTCTATAGCTCCACTTGTCCGGTCTTTTTTTCCACTCTTTTCTTTCTTCCTTCTTCAATTGATTTATTTATTTATATTTATTTGTTTATTTCACATTGATTGCGGGAAGATACTGCACGAGACATGTGGCAATAATGGCACTGTTTTTATCCGATCCATATTTTCCGTTGCCATATGGTTTGCGAAGGTTTGGATTACAACGAGTAATCATGGTTACCAAAAATATCCTACAGTAGCTCTTCTGCAATTAATTTCCTTGTTACATTGTGTAATTGCACAAT